AGTCAGATCGTTGACCAACGCTGCAGAGATGCATGTCCTCAGTCGCCTTTAGCGGCCCTGAAGCCCACAGAGGCCCCAGCAGGCCCCTCCCGTCCTGCAGGACATCCTCCCTCCAAGCAGGAGCGGCTCTGTGGATTCTCCCTGCATGTTGGGCTGAAGGGAGCGGCTCTTTCTCTGTTATAATCTGCTCCCCATCCTGCTCAGCGCTGCGGTTTCAGACACGCGAACATGTTTGAAGGAGCAAAGAGCTGAAGTCAGAGCCTGGATTTAACCGCAGCTGCTGCCGGGTGGGAGTGCCACGCGCCTGCAGACAAAGACACGTCAAAAGTCTCTGTTCACACCCAGGGTGCTGGAGAAGAAATGTCTCCATGCAGTTCCTTTAGGACTGAGTTTTCTCTCCATGCATCTGTTTTCTGACCCAGCAGACAGCGTGAGCAGGAGCCATGTGAGCGAAGCCTCAGGCTGAAAGGGTCACCATGATGGCAGGAAACTGGACCTGAGGGAGGCAGATGATCTGATCTGAATCCGTTCACTGATGCTGCATTTTGGAATCATTTTATTTAATTATTTATCTCCTAAAGTTTTAAAATTCTCTGGCTGCTGCAGCTAAAATCTCACCCAGTTCTTCTGCAGGACCATTTTTCAGAGAAACAGGCTGTTTCTGTCCAGCAGAAACTGGATAACAGGCGAAGGAGGACCAACGTTAAACATGGCTGCTATGTTTCACTCTGACCACCAGATGTCAGTAGATGTTACACCAACGCCCTTTAAAACAGACTGGTTTTCTTTCCACTGAGAAACTCCTCCCACCTGCTGCAACATCTAACAGCTAATTCAGACAAAACAGACCATAAAGATGGAAGATTTAAATTATAATTAATTTCAGCCTAAAGGAGCGACTGAGCTCAGTCTGACCCTTCAGAGGAGAAACAAACCAAAGAGCTGCTGCTGTGAAACCAGTCCTTTCAGACCCATGTGGGTCAGATTCACCTGAAGCAGGAGAACTAAAAATAGACTAAATAATGAAGCTGAACTAAAATATGATTTTTGTTCTGTGTAAAAGAAGAACACCCACGATGGATGCTGTTCCTGGACTTCAGCTTTCAGCACCATCATCCCACAGCATCTGATGGGCAAACTGG